ATTTCGATCAATATAAAGTTTGATTGAAGTCAAAATTCTGTTTCGAATTAGTTGTAGTCAAACAAGAACATTTTGGCCCGATAACAAAGGCGCTGCTGCTATGGTTAGTACATTTAGGAACTATAAAACTTACCTAATCTATAGAAAATAGCATAAAAGAAAAACATGGCACGACAACTACAGTACGTAAAGTATCAGAAGATACTTTTGACATTGACAGAGGGCGCTTGTAAGCTACCACAATTTAGTTTGACTTATGCCCACCGGGTCATTTACGTTTCTCGGTCTATAATATAATAATAGAGCAAGTAAAAACGTTTCATCAAAAGCGTAAAACATTGTTATTTTACTCCTTCCTTAGAGTCTTAGGTTAGTTTTTAATAATAAATACATAGCGATAGACTTAAGTAGTCTCTATGTTATAGTTAATTCGTCGTGAATCCTGTTTATGTATTTAATTCACAAGCACATAAGCTATATGACATAAAGCTAATAGATTATTTGTAAAAACTAGGTGGATTTGTTAGCATTCTTTCGTCGCGGTAACAGGAAATTATTTAAATATTATCAAATCAATCCGTGTGTTGGATTCTTTTGCTATAAAAATATAACGCCTCCATGTGAAGGATATTTGAAAAATGTAGTTAAACTTATTTCTTCGAGATTTTTCTTTTTAATCAATTTATGAAAGGTAGACAACGCATATGCAATTGCGTATGTCTATGGGCAGCGGTCGCTTCGCTATTTCAGCGATTTCAGGTGGCCGGTCGCTCGTTTGCCACCTTAATATATATAAAAAAAATATATTTTTGACAGTACCATTGTTGCCAAATTATATTCTTTTTGCTTATATATTACTTATATGATGTGTCTTATCGTAGTACATATATTTTTATTTATTATATTTCTATTTATTATTTATCAAGTAACGTTCCTACAATTACTTAAAGATGAAAATCATTTATTTTAAAATGGTGTTTAAAAAAGCAGTCTGCATTATATCTAAAATGTGTAAAGTACAAAAAACTATAATTTATGTCTGAAAATAGTGCTTCATTATTTATGTAGAAACATTTCTCTCCTTCATTATTAAATTTGTTTATTCGCTGTTTCATTTTAAGCTATGTGAGTTCCTCGCGAAACATAAATACCTGTCATGTGAGACCGATATTTAGATATAAAAATTAGTTGGAGCACTGCAAATGATTCTTTGTAAAAAAAAGTGTACATTTACTAACTTAAAACATACATGCATCTTACGATTTTACCATAGAAAGTATTGATGGATTGTCTGAAAGAGTATATGCTTAAGAAATGAGTGAATTCAAATACAGCTTATAGAGATGTTTGTAAGACTAAGTACAGGTGATGTAGCGTCTTACAATTTTTAAAAACAATAATTAAGATTTATTTTGAACGTATTTATACAATCAATCTTCTATCTTTTGACATTAAATACCACATAATCTAATATAAACGCGTGCCAAAATAACATTACACGTAAATGCACAACTTTTATAGCGCATTATAATGTAAACTTCGACAAACAATACGAGCTAACAACGTAAATCAAATTGAAATACGACGGCCACATATCATATAAGAAAGCAAACAACGCGACTTGCAGATCTTGCACCGAATTAATTCGTAAGTCACACAAAATTAACGATTTATACGTTTTGATTTTGAGCCAGAAAGATCAAATATACGGCGACCTTGAGCCGAGTGCGATGCCATTATAAACAATACCTAATTATATATTCTGATAGAGATTCATATCTATTGCTATTCGAAATGAATCATAAAGGTTACTTTAGAATGGTTGCGGACTTTCGGAAGGTCGAAACGTATAATTTTTTTTTTGCATAAAAATAAATTATATTTTAATCGTTTGAAATAGTTTCAAATTTTAACACCTTATTTTTAGTTTCAATTTTAATTAAATTACATTTTAACATACTTTAAATATTACTCTTTACAAAGATATTGATTGTTGATGTTTTCCGACCTTCTAAATTTTTAATAACTCAATAAACATAGAACTAATGGTTAGTAGTTTTAGAACTTATTACAATCATTTGGCGCGAATGGCGCGCTTTCGTTACAAAATCAAGTGTCAGAATGATTAGTGATGGGACATAAACGTCAACATTTTAGTAAGGCTAGTGTTGCGCCGTACACCAGCACAGTGTCGGATTTTCTTCATAACAGTAGATATTAAGTATGCATACGTAATAAGGTAGTAGCGTAAAGTGTAATAACAGCCCCCGTGACTGACGCAAATTTACGTCCATCTTGACGTTTGTGTGTATGTATTGTTTATACTAGAAATACCAATATACTTTACGTTAGAACATTCATCCAAAATATACACTGCTTGTGACGTCAAACATAACACTGTTAAATTCGATTGTCCTTTATCTTATGCTATAAACCTGTAAAATATATGCTTCTTACAATTGTCCGAATTATAACCGACCATTGTGTACTCAATCCTTTATTTTTTTGCATTATGCCTTTCTTAAATGGCGTAATACTTATCAAAATCTTACTTCTTACTTATATTTTAATGCGAAAGTTTAGATTGATGTGTGTATCTTCGGAACAACCGGAAATAAATCTTCGCACAGATCTAGATCGTAGTCTGGAAGAGCACATAGGCTACTTATTATTTTTTTAATTGCGCGCATACAGAGTCGCGACAGGCAGTTGAGTAATGAACGATTTTAAAATAGGTAACCTAAACGTGGGAATTGGTAGACTGGTTACTACAAGATAGAGTTTATAGACAAATGTTTTGAATGACCACTCTATAATTTATTTGAAACTCTTTGTTTCTTATAATATAGCATCCTCTTTAATATTTAATTAGCACATTCATCATACATTCTATACAAATTATCTTTAGACAATAAAAATTAAATGTAGGAGCGGTTGTATGAAGTTGGACAAAGGCGTGTGTACACAACAGGCCAAGTTAGAGCGGCACAATGGGCCTTTTGTTTACGATTAATGGACGACCTTTGTAGAGGCCTGAATTTTGACTTATTGTTTTAAGAACGCGTGGGAGTGTGTACCCGCCTTAAGATATTTATATTTCCAATTAAAATATCGCAATAAGAATGACGCTGAAGTCAATTCAGTTTCGTATTTTATTTATAACTTTATCTTGAAATTATTATGACCAATTGAACCTAAGTATTATTGATACAAAGAAATTGTATGGAGCTATCGACTATATAGTAAAGTTATTTTTATTACTATAAGCAGTTGTCTGATTTTTTTATTATACATTCACATAAATATCCATTTGTTATCGCTTTAATAATACACACAAAAAATAATCTCCAAAGCACACAAAAAAACTTCAACTTTAGGATCTAAAGCTCCATTCACGAAGTAAATTAAATTACAAAGAATAAACAGAATGCGTATTTAAAATCGTTGTTGCGTCAAATATTTATCTCGCAGCTGCGCACCCGCAATATTAGAAATATCAAGTTACGCAAACGCAATTCCTATTTATAAGAGTTTTAAAAAAAAGTGATATACCTGAGCAAATAATAAAACAGAATTATTATACCTAATATTCATCATCATCTTTCACTAAACCTGGGGAGGGCTTTCACTAAAACTAAGGGGTTCGGAGGCTGCCCTAAGTTAGGAGTGACTAGGCTAACACTGGGCCAGTATCGGTTGGTTGACTTAACATTGTATAAATGTACATATGTAAATAAAAAATTCAGGTGCTTAACCTTTGTGCCACCGACGTTCTATCATTAAATTATTTATGTTTTAATATAAGAAATTATAATTTCACGTCAAAATAAAATTATATTACATTCATATAAGAGTTAATAATCGTTACTTACATGCTATACTTTCTTGTAATTTCATAACTAAAAGGTTTTTAATTTCTAATACCACTTAATAATGTATTTCCTGTAATAGCGAACAGAACAAACCACGTAATTTTGAAATTCCTATAATCAATTTCATAATTATACGAGACGCGAATACAGCTCATTTTATACTGGTCTAAAAATTTCTTTACCAACTATAGGCATGGTCAGATCTTTCGTCTTATCGATATTATTTTTTTTAACTTTAAAAACATTCCTCAATATTTTTAAGCTCGTGCTTTTTTTTCGTGCTCGAAAAACCGGAATGTCGTGTCAATTTCAACTATCTTCTAAATATTTCCGTGATAATTTATCTTCCGAATTTAATTAGTAATTTTCTATGAGATATTCACATATGCCTACCTACCTTACCTACGTTACTTACTAAACGTAAATTACAATGTTATATCGATATAAAAAACATCACTAAATTACGGCATTGATGGCCAGTATTATCTTTGACATTATATAGCTCGGCGAATCTTTGACACATTTGATTTGTTTGCTACAAACCATCATATTATTTTTTTTATTAATATTGATTAATATTTCTGCATAAAATGTTATCATTAATAAAAACAGTTTATGCGATAAGTGACCGTCAAACTTTGAATTCAGACAAAATATGTAACACCATTGAAATTAACCTATACCATCTTATCTATTGTATTATGTATATTTATTTTACTATACAATATAATATGTGCTATGTATTCAAATCACTATCCGTGTTTACTGCACGCATGATAATTACGGCCGCTTCCCGGTGAAGAACCTTGTCGGTGCCCTTGGGAGATCTTTAATTTGTAACATACATGGCGGCCATGTTTAATTTTTACTTGTTTGCCCTTGTTAAATAAATGAAATATTCATTATACACAAAACATATGTTTATTTTATTAGAAATAGAACAGAAATAATGGCATGATGGTAAAATAAAATTTCCAAAGAGTTTTGGTGTTCCTTTTCAATGTGATAAATGATAGAACACTGTCGCTAAAACAATACGACTCTATGGTTAGGTTAGGTTAAAAGAGTATTCAATGAATGCCATTTTCATAGAGTATGTAACATAAGGGTGTATCCTCGTTGTTGCAGAGCTACAGAGGTCGCAAGCCTCTGGGAGGCAGCGTAGTGCCGGTGCCCGGCGTAGCCGGCCTTAGCCCCGGTGTGCCGGCGGCTGCATCCCCCGCCCCCGCTCCCCATACCCCCGCCGCGCCCAGCCCTGCACCCGCAGCCACGCCCGCCATGAAGCAAGACCATCCCAGTCAACCCATGGTAAGTTAACAACTCCATACCTTTGCTTTTTAGTTTGTATAAACTAAGAGATAAGCAATCAGTATGTCGTCAACTTAATGCTCAACACCGCTCAGAACTGAGAAATAACGTCTTCAATAACGTGGCTAAGTTCGGCATCTAGGGACGAAGCTGTGGCGCCGCCGAAAAATAATTTTAGGCAAGGTCCTTGTCAATATATGACTTTTCTTAATTTCTATTTCATTTAAGTCCACTAAACAATCTAATTTATTTCACAAAAGACTAATTAAAAGATAAACCGATTAGGAAGTAGGTTAATATGAATAAAAGATAATCTTGTAAGGAACTTAATCCGCTTTCCGTTAAGGCCCCTTGTTACCTTTTAATTTATGTTTATTGTTTTTTATTACTTCGCTAGTTAAATTACAAAACAAAGTTTATAAATTTTATGTGCTAAATTAAAAAGTAAATCTCTTGACAAACTCTTAAAGCGTCATCATCACTATGCGTCCCAACTGAAAGGCTCGGAAGCGACCCTAAGTTAGAAGTGACTAGGCAGACATAGTCGACCATGCTGGCGAAGTGCGGGTTGGTTGACTTTACACAAATCTTTGAATTTATTGATAGAAATATGCAGGTTGCACCACGATTTCCTTGACCGTTAGTACGTTTGATAATCGTTCTAGCAAAATAGAAATAACAATATGCCAAATGATACAATGTAGTCATTCGTAGTGTCCTTCAAGAGCGTTGATGTAACAAATCATTTGCAGATATTTACGAGCGGATGTAATAAATTATTGCATGATAACCTCCATGTCTTGACTGAAGTAAACATTGTCCACGTACTACACCCATTGTACTGACTCATTTATTGTGAGTTCTTGAAAACAAGCGATATTATTGTTATATAACGCAATAAGATTAACAAAATTATACAAATATTTAGTATTTTTATCGGTACTAAAATGTGTTACTTTTCAATTAAAAATATCTTAAAAAAATTACTCTTAAATACTCTAATCTTACTTATTGCTTTTTTCTTACGAATGTTATAAATGCGAATGCTTAGACGAACGCATTTAGGGATGTTTGTTTGAAGTATTTTCGGTAGGTTGCATAGATCTCGCTGAAATTTGGCATAGATGAAGAACACAGTGTGTAAGAACATACGCACAGACGGTATAGCTGCAGACAGCTAGTAAACGTATAAAACGTGAAAGTCTTGTTTATTTTTTTTTAATGGAAAAATATCCAAATAGCCAACTACTTTCGTCTTTATTATAATTCAGATACATGCTACATTTCTAATACACGTTTCCATTCAAAAGCAATTAATTTTACAGCTTTCCCGATAGACGGAAAGTTAATTGAATTGAGAATTAAATTTTCTTAGATAAATAAAACGCGACGTCTACTTTGAAATTGTTAAATTTATTTATCCTCGCCATATTACGTTGTTGCTTAAAATAAAATATTGTCGAGAGACGGTTTTGATAATTATAATGGAGTTTTCTCCGTATAATTGCATTTGTTTCATAGCGGAATCAACTTTGAAGCTGCTCAGCATCGCGTAATTTGTTTCCTTACAAAATAAAACGTGTGACTGTTTACAAAATTATATCGCTTTACAATATAGGTCACTAGCTGTCGCCCGCGACTCCGTCCGCGCGGAATTAAAAACGAACTTAATAAGTAGCCTATATGTTCTTCCTGACTTTGTTCTACACCTATGCCTATCAGCGAGATCAGTTAAGCTGTTCCGGAGATACCTTCAAACAAATATCTATCCATTCATCCATCCAGTAAGATTTAAAAATTAAACATTTCAAAAACTTGTACTCAAAGTAAAATAGTAAGAAATCGGCTGTATATTTTGGCAACAACTTTCAATCACTCTATATGTTAGCTGTTAAATTTAATTGGTATTGAAATGGTGTATTCCAACATGTCTTTTGCAATGAAACTATGTATAATATTTTAACAAAACACTAAAGTAATTAATATTGGTCACACAGAATGTACGAAGTTTCGTAGTTTTTTTGCTGCAACGTCCAACTTGGGCCATTCGCGCGCTGCTTCAAGAATTTATAGTTCCCTGATTGTAGCTACGAGCCGTTTATTTCATTTTGCGAAACATTACCTAACATTTTGCACAAATGTTTAAAATTGGACATGTTTATTATAACAAGGATTTTAAAATGAAATCACTCGAGATATCAGGCTAGATATATTTGATTTCTTTTTATTTAAGTTTACAACATATCTTCAGGTTTATCTGACATTTTAACTTCAACGTTATATTGTTCAGAGAAAAATCAAGTTAGTGACAACTGATAGACAATAAAACAAATAAATTATGAAATAATTAACTGTGTTATCTCTTACTATGTTTCGATAAGTAAATCATATGATTAATAAGTAATTGAGTTTACAGTATTTAATTAACGAAATATTTTTAGGGTTCCGTACCTCATAGGAAAAAAACGGAAACCTTATAGGATCACTTTGTTGGCCGTCCGACAGTCTGTCAAGACGTTATTTCTCAAAAACGCGTGAAGTGATACCTAGCTGGATTTTTTTTTTATTTAAAGAGAGTACAAAGTCGTTGGGTTACACAAATATATTGTAAACACTTGTAATACATAGCTACAGAACTCGCGATAAACAAAACATTTGTAATTACATACACGTAGATAAATAATAAAGTAATTTACGAGACGTGTATAAGTTTTAATTACAAGCTCGCGTCGCGCTCCTAATGAAATTTCAGCCGAGCTTCTAATGTCTCGTTACACGCACAAATTGAAATTAAAACCTTAAAATGTTTAAATAATGTAATGGAAAAGAACGTTTACTTTTATTTTAACTTTTAAAGAATTTTCTTTTTTTTAAGGTATTATTGTTCATTTATCACTAGCATCTAACCTGCCAGTATTTTTGCCAATTATTTTGGATTCACTCAAAATCGATCTTAGAACCCTCAAATTCCGACGTCAGGAAAGCTTCAAAGCGTAAAGTTCACCTTAAAACTTACTAAACAATTATTACTTTTTTAATACTTCGCAGTTTCTCCGAAAGAATTTTTTGCCACACTCGTAAACTTCATTTTTTAATTTTTACTTCCCTTGAATAAAAAAAAAACCTCATACCTGCCTTTTAGGTTGAAACTTGAAACCCTCATATTTGTTGAGAGTTTATTTTAATTACGTCGTCTTTGAAAACTCATTTTTAAGTATAATATAAGCAGGTATTAATATGAACACCTTTTTTGAAGACCTTAAGGGTATTAAAAATTTAGAACAAACTGAATTTAATAAATAAATTACAAGGTAAAAATGCGGTATTAAATTATGTTTTGAATTAGTATAACTTGTTAGTGAGTTGTTTTAAATATTTTTAGAGCGAAAGGTATATTTCTATACATAACAATATTTACTATTTACTACGTTCCCGACCTCGGGCAACGCGATAACTTCGCGCGTAACTACGTTGCGGAGTACGTCGACTTCTAGATAACCGAACGTCGTCACCTACTAATTATTTTACAAGACATTGAATTACAACTTGTATATATTTGATGGCTAAATGGAGGTCGCATCAGTCATTTACGTTTTTATATTGTTACTTTAACTTTGTAGTTAATATAAAAATACATCTACCTTTACAAAATCCGAATCTTAATTGTTTATAGTTTGTTTTGTTATCGTTGCAGGCTCCGATGCCATTTTATGCCGGGGATCCTAATAGGTTCCCAACAACGTGGCAAACAGACCCATCACAAGGTATGTTAAAACATTGTATTGTTTGAAATTAAAGAAATTTACAGAAAATAATATTGATACTATTTAATGATAACTTTTACTACAAATTAATTCTCATTTGCTTATTTACAGGTTGGCAAAATCAATTCATACAGCAAATTCCCACTCAGACAGGACAAACTACATTAGATTACCAAGGAGCCCATACACCTTATGCCACGTCTCCTCACTACCAAGCGAACACTACCTACACCGTCCAGAATGTTGCGACAACCTTTGATGTCACTAACAACACTTATTACCAGGCTGGAGTTCAGGCTGTGCCAGCACAAAGACCACCATCGAATCGCGGAGCGTACACCCCTGTTCCGTCGCCGAGAGCTCCACATTATGCTACGGAGTACCAGCAGCAGTACGCCCAAGCTGCAACTCCTGGTGTTACAAGTGGCAGTGATTCCCGACCCGCCTCGGCCATTTCATACCAAAGCTCAGTTCCGACAACGGCAGCATCCGTTTATACTGTCAGTCAACCGAATTACGAACGCACAGAGTACGCAACAGAACATGCGGAGGACTATAACAGCGGTGATGGCGCAACAGGAGATTCTAACAATGACGGAGACAGACAGGAGCAAAATGGAACAAATGGACAGCATTCGGGAAACGCCGAGCCTGGATACCTGCAGGGGAGCAACGGTCCGCGAGCTTCACTCGACTGTAGCGGGTATTCGGGCGCCTACAATAGCGGACAGTACAGGGAAAACAACCAAGCACAAAACCAAAATGACTGGCAACAACGCCAGTGGCAGCACAACCAAAGAATTCAAAACCAACAAATGCAGAACCAACATCAAATTCAGAATCAGCAACAAATACAAAATCAGCAGCAAATGCAAAACCAACAGCAGCTGCAGAATCAACAGCAAATGCAAAACCAACAGCAGCTGCAGAATCAACAGCAAATGCAAAACCAACAGCAAATGCAAAATCAGCAGCAAATGCAAAGTCAGCCGCAAATACAGAGTCAGCAGCAGATGCAGAATCAGCAACAGATGCAGAATCAGCAACAGATGCAAAATCAGCAACAGATGCAAAATCAACAGCAAATGCAGAATCAACAGATGAACCAACAATTAAACCATCATCAACAAAATCAACAGCAACAATTGCAAAATCAACAAATTCAAATGCAGAATCAACAAAATCAACAAATTCAGAATCAACAATTACAGCAATCACGACAAGATGAGTCTGAACAACAAATGTTTTCGCAGTCGGACAGGGTAAACTTAAACTCGAGACTGAAAACAATGATATTGAATAAGCAGAGCCATACCCGGGACGGTACAAACACACCCCCGGACAAAGGTGATCCTGGCGAAGGCCCACCTAGAGGGCTTGATGACCGAAAAGGTGGAATTTCCACCAATGACGATAAAAATACTACCGGTCATTTTTTATCGTATAGCCACCATCTCCGAGATAATTACCGCATAGGCGAGCAGGCTTATTCTGCAGCTGGTAATTATTCCCACGGAGCTCATGCTTATGGCGTGAGCGAGTTCGGAGGTGGTGGCCACCACGTATGGGAGGGCGGGACGGATGTTCCGCGGAGTTATGACAAAAATTTTCCATCAGTTAATGCATCCAAAGCACAAAAATTGCCCTCTTATTCCGATATGAGAGGTCAATATAATGTTTACTCAAATCTCACAACCACAGTCAATTCTCAAAAGTATCCCGAAGTTTTCGGTAATGACAATTTAAGTTTTGCGCAACAAGATAGTAAAGATTTCCAATCTAAAATGCTTATAGGACCAGTATCTGAAATGAACCAACAAACCTCAGCTCGTGAGATAAGCGCACAAAAAAAGCATTTTGAAAGAGAAGCTTATGATGCAAAATCCAGGCATCCTAATGCGCCTTTAATTCCTAAGTTAGAATTCCCTGATAATTATCAGTACAAGAAGGAAGAAAGGATAAAACCCGAGACGGTAAGAACTTCCTGTCAAAATACGTACAAAAAGCCAAATGAGACGAATTTAACTAATACTTATAGAGAGTTTCCTAACGGTTCTTTGGCCAAGGCCAATCAAAATACTGTGCTTCCCCCAATATCTACCATAAAACAAGAAAATTTTGGCCCAAAACAACAAGCCTATCAGAACTTCCAGAATTATGGATTTGAACGTAGGCAAGAAAATCATGAAAATTTTGTTCAAAGTCCTCGCGTCCAAGAAAATATAGGTTTTCAAAGATATAACAAGAATTACGAACAAAAGACACATAAAACATTTGAAAACCTCGGCAATTCAGAAAGAAATATACCAATTGAACCCAAACCACCATTTTACATTGAGCAAATCAAATCAGAACATTCACCCCCGGGACATAAAATATATAAAAACATTAATTATGGACCTCCAAAGAACGAGCCTTATATGTTTCCTGGGGATGGAGGACCAGTGGCTATCAGGAACGAAGTTGGTTACTCTTGCTGTCGCCAGGGTTCAACTAGAAAACCACCCCCCGAACACTTAAGAGACGGAGCTTGTCCAGGACTACAGACTAAAGATGAAATATTAGAAGACGACCCTGATTCAACGGAAAAATCTGATTCCAAAAATTCCTCTAAGCCTGGTACGCCTGTACCGGATAATACCGCTAAGCCTAAAGAAAATCAATTTAATTATTCTAAAGAATATCTCGACAATTTGGAAAAACTAAGAAATAGTTCGAGGACAGAGGTGCCTGATTGTAACTGTTTCCCGGCTGATAAAAATCCTCCTGAACCAGGCAGCTACTACACTCATTTAGGTAAGTAATTTCTGTTGCTATGATTTTATATTTTTCAATTTCATTTTGAATTCTAGTACATTCAAATTTTATTGTTGTTTTATATTAAGGGCTTACTCAAAATAAAAAAAATGAGGTTTAAATGTGTAAATTTTATGGTAGCCATGTAGTTACAAATATTCAGTTTTATTAAATACATTGTACATCACTTTACAGGAGCAGCCTCTAGTTTGGCAGAATTAAGAAAAGAGTTAGAAACGCGGACAGGACTATCTGGAAAAGAACTGAGGATTGAAAAGATCTGCTACACTGGCAAAGAGGGCAAAACTGCTCAAGGATGCCCGATGGCAAAGTGGGTGAGTGTATGGATCCCAAAAATTTCTTTACCTCTTCAATTACAATTTCAAATTAAAACGAAAACTCAACAATGTGTTTATTTTTTTTAAATATTAAACCTCAAAATTCGCCCCACAGATAATCAGACGTGCCAACTACACGGAGAAAGTTCTAGTGGTGGTGAAGTGCCGCAACGGGCACAAGTGCACCTCCGCGTGGATCGTGGTGTGCCTGGTTGCGTGGGACGGCATCCCGCAGTCAGAGGCTGACCTCGACTATACACTGCTCTCACACAAACTAAACCGGTACGGCCTGCCAACCACACGGCGCTGTGCCACCAATGAAAACAGAACCTGCGCCTGTCAAGGTAACTCAAATAATATATTTCTTCTTCACTCTTCACTTTCCTAAGTCTTATTGTACGATAGCTTAAGTAATCAAATGTTATTAAGTTTAGATTATGACGCGATACGAACGACGTAGTTAAAGAAAACAGAAAGCTTAAGTAACATTGATTTGAACTTAAAACTTTTGGATTAGATGTCTTTACTCATCTTACGTAATGTTTAATTCCAGGGCTGGACCCAGAGACTTGCGGCGCTTCATACAGTTTTGGTTGTTCATGGTCGATGTACTACAATGGCTGCAAATACGCAAGATCCAAGACCGTGCGCAAATTTCGTCTGTCTGTCAAAACCGAGGAGGCGGAAATAGAGGAGAGAATGAATGTTCTCGCTACTCTACTGAGTCCACTTTACATGAACCTCGCTCCCAAGTCATTCGAGAATCAGTGCCAATTTGAAAAAGAAGCTTCCGACTGCCGCCTGGGATTTAAGCCTGGACGACCATTTTCCGGTTTGTATTGTATCATTTTCGGATAAAATGTTTTGCAATAGATATAAATGTTTCAAATTAATATTCAGGAAACATTTATCAGTTGCATTATTCATATAATATATTAATCTCATGTTATTTATTTTTTGCGTCTAGGAGTGACAGCATGCATAGACTTCTGCGCGCACGCGCATCGCGACCTGCACAACATGCACAACGGGTGCACGGCGGTGGTGACGTTGGCGCGACACCGCGGGCCGGCGCGCGCAGAGCATGAGCAGCTGCATGTGCTGCCGCTTTACGTGCTTGACAACACCGACGAGTTCGGCTCCGTCGACGGACAAGAGGACAAAGTGCGCAGTGGAGCGCTGCAGATACTTGACAAGTAAGTACGACCTTTTCATAAATTTAATTAATCGCTAAATTTGTAGTTGAAATCAGCTTACCGACTAACCTATTTCATTATCTTTTCCAGATTTCCAATGGAAGTGAGAGTCCGATCCGTGCCATTACAACCGTGTAGACGTCACGGTAAAAAACGAAAGGATGAAGAAAGTTCAGACAACGCTAACTCTACCGCGAACACCGCGACCCAGCAGAATTCTAACAACCAGAAGAAGCAACAGCAGAACACTGCTACACCGAGGACGCCACAACCAAACGATAACAGAAATAACGCAAGTCCTAAAACCCAAAGCAGCGCATCGCCCCGAGCCAACACTCCGGCTATGAACCAACCAAATCCACCTTTCACTAATAACTCGCCATATAACTCAGCATTTGTAAATCCAAATATGCATAACAATTCCTCCGGTCTTATCAACCCTAATTTATCAAATCCTGCGTTGTTAGACATGGCGTCGATGATCGACAATTTTACTGATGCCCAATTACAAAGTAATCAAATCTCTAGTACAGTTCTAGACTCTCCTTACAATCCCTATGATCAAAGCTATAATTTACATCACCAGAACAGCATGTACAATCCAAATAATGTGTCACCCCTAATAGAAAATACTTGTCAGAACCCTAACCCCAATCAACTGCCGAGTTTTGCCTCTGGCTTGCAGAAAAGAGACCAACCATTCAATACCAATCAAGAACAAATCCCACCAGCGAATCAATGGCCTGATTTTGCTAATGCAGAAATGTTTAATAACGTAGTAAAAGAGGATCCCGATTCGACCACGGCACATCTCAACGGTCCCGCTAACAATTTTAGTCCCGACTCAAATAGAAGTGAAACTAATTCAGATCAAATGTCACAGAAAAATACATCGGAAAACGATAAACAAAGTCTCATAGGCGATATTACAAACAAAATGCCAGAATTCGATATGCCCAACTCGCCGCGCCTGACGGAGATATCACAGAAGTCACAAAGTACTCCAGCATCTCCTGCTCCTTCACAGATCTCAGAATTAAAGTCGCCAAGCAATGACACATTAATTTCGCCCGATGCTAGAAAAAGTGTTTGGAAATCACCAGATTCTAAAAACTGGGATCCCTTGAAACCAAAAGAAGCAGCTAATGCTGAAAATGACAATTCTTTATTTAGGGTACCAAAAGCAAGACCGCCATCGCGATCCCAGCTGGTCAACCCTTTGGCTGGCGTAGAAAATACAACGTTCTTAAAGCCATATCCACCATCAGATAAACCTCATTTTAGCCAAGGTTATGAACATAGAAGTCCATATGATAACAGAACCAATACAATATCCCAGCCGCCAACATCGCAAGGAAATTTCACTATTAACCACGAAGACATGAATCAAAGTATGGGAGTATCAAATAAACCCGTACAAGAGTTTGCTGGGAACTTCCATCCTGTAAGTCAGAATAATTTTGGAAACCAAACTTCCGTGCCGTACAGTAACTACCCACAGATGACAAATGCGTATCCATTTCCACCAAGCCCGTATGGTCATTTTAATCCATACGAAAATTCTTATAACGATTACAACAGTCTAGCATATTACAATGCTGAAAAATATAAAAGGGAAGAATTGATCAGAAATTCTCATTGTTATAACTCCTACGGTTATCAATATAACCCTAATTTTACTCCCAATTTTTATCAGAACCCAAGTCCAAATTGGTGTCAGTCTTCGCCTAATTGGTGCTTGTACCCGCCTCCTTTTTCTATTCCGTATCCACCAGAACCACCAAAAGCTGAGCCTATCGGAGAAGTAACAGAAGTATCCGACAATCTGGAATGTTTTAAAGATAGTCAGATGGGCGGCGTGGCCATTGCTTTAGGTCATGGGAGCGTACTGTTTGAATGTGCGAAACACGAAATGCACTCGACGACAGCTGTAAAAAGTCCTAACAGAGTAAATCCGACTAGAATATCGTTGGTCTTTTATCAGCATAGAAATCTGAATAGACCCAAGCATGGTCTTGAAGAATGGGAAGAAAAAATGAGGTTGAAGAAGCTTGGTTTAAATCCTGCAACACCAGGAACGCCGGGACCGAATTCTAATTCCGCTTCGCCAGCGTCTACACCGGGACCCGAGCAAAGGCAAACGCCGGGCCCGGAGAAATGGAAGAACAATGAGGATGCTATTCCTGGAGGATACAGTTCCTTGGCAGCGCTCGTAGAAGCGACTAACGCTGTGAAGAAAAGCGGACAGATCATGCTACGTACTGATACTCACACCACAATGTCATGGACGACACTATTTCCAATGCACCCTTGCACTGTAACGGGCCCCTACCAAGAATCGGCCACCTGACGCAGGCCGCGTCACGTCGCAACATAGCTGTGTTGTCGACCGCGCCTCTAGGTTTCTACCGAAGCCATCACAATTCGTTTGAGTCGACCGAATTCATCCCAAGTGTTGCTTAAACGAATATAATAAAGCCACTGACTACTTATGATATTATACTGATGATAATTGGAAATTTATCTCTATGGATAAGAATATAAAAGATGCAATGATCACGTTGTAAAATGATGTATTACTAAGTGGTTATTATTGAAACTTTTAAATTATACTTTTTTATTGTCGCGTAAAGAGCTGGTCCTGCGAGCTTCTTATTACATTTATATTGGAATTGACTACCGATTTACATTATAAGTTTTCGACGAATCGAGTGAGTTTTAATCAAAGATGTTATTTAAGTTTTAATTTAGTAGTTTTTATCGCATTTCAACTAGTCTTACGTTACTACGCTAGTATCTATTGTATGAGATAAGCGACCGTATCCATGTAGTTCTTTTGTTTGTATATTCATGTGCTATTTAATTTTACCAATATCGAGTCGACCTCCATGGATATATACAAAAACATTTTGTATAAAATAGATGCATTGTATGTTTATTCTGGATATTTTATCGTGTTTTCTAATTAAGCGCATTATGAATAAATATTTAGTGCGATGCAATGATCTCATAAACTACTAACACTACATGTATACCTTGTTCAGAGCAAAAGTACAAAACATCATGTTTTGTGGGAAAGAGAGGCCCCAACCCGCCGGTGACGGCCGGACACCGCGGTGTCTATTTTTGTACCTTTGTTTGTTTATTTATTATTTTACATTATTGTGAAACCATTCCTCTATTTGGAGTTTGTTTTGGCATATTATTTTAAATTTAATGATACAAGTAAAATCATAGCGGAAACGCTAAATGCATTTTACAACACACGTAATTGAGTGCTTTTCTATTAGGTTTAAGATGTGTGTATTTTTAACTTTTTAGAATATTTAACTTATTTATATTGTATTACGTGAACCTTTATGAAATGATTTTCTTTGTAATAATTTAGTGTTACGGTAGATTTTAATAATTAATATATTTGCTTTATGACTCGACATTTAAGTTGTATTGACATGTTCAAGCCTTCTTTACTTTCCTCCAGTGCCTGCGCTGCCGCCAGCGCCATCTGTTGACGTGAATATACAAACTGTTAAATTGTGTCCTTAGTTCATAATCGTGTGTGCATTTTATGAAAACATCCTTATTGTTTAGTCACTAATAATTTTAATGAAATTATGTTCAATAATTTAAAGAAAAATATGAAATAAAAAAATACAATTATAATATAAGTATTGCGTAAAACAGGCGCTTGGAAAGATTATAAAGTAGGCATATTATTGAAAAATGAATGAAATCATACTGACGAATAGTTATTAATATATAATTAGGCTAAGAGAAGTTTGTTTTAAAGATTAAACTATTGATATAGTTTATATTTTTTACGTGTACGTATTTATTGAATGGTAAATTTATTGGGACGAATGTGAAATTATTTATAGGTGAAGTTTTCAGAGCAAAACTTTTAAAAACTAAGCAATAATAGACGTCGGGTCTATGTACATTATTATGTAGGAGTTGAATAAAAAAAAATAACGAATGGTGCAGAATATCGTCGATCTTATGTCGCTTAACTTTTCGAACGGTCTCTGATCGCCTAAATTTTATTCTGATATTATTTGTGTACGTTATCTGTGTGCCCCTCTTGCCATACGTAGCCGCCGCTCGTAACCGTTGACTTCCACTGATGAAAAACTTGTATAAAAACATAATTAGAATATGTTTATGTTCGGGCAGTGGAAACTCATGGTTACATTTAGTTGTCAGAGCATTGTGTTTGTGTGACAAGACATATCAATATCGTTTTCATAAATCATAGTTTTTACAACAACGTGCCAGCAAGCAGTGATCGAAGCAGGTCAAATAAAACATATTTTAAATTGTATACGGATTATTATGTCGGCGAATTTTTCACGTTTACAAATTAAAAAAAAAAACATTTTGTAATTGAGGGTTAAATCGTTTTACGTGTTGTGAATAGTTGCCTCGAGATTGATATTGTGGGAAACGATTTCGATCAGTTTGAATTGCATTTGTATTGTAGACAGCATTCGTACAGATGACGTTACGTGAACAAACAAATTAGAATAAAATTAGTAATACGGAAAATATCATATAATAGTTACTGTGTTTATCCATTGATCGAAAGACTGTTAGATGTTGCTGAATTTATGACAAGTGTTAATTATAATTTATTAACGTCGTTTGTACGAATGCATGTATTGAGTAAAAAATTTAAAAAGTAGATGATTGTTAATCTCAAGTTAATTGGATTATATAAGAGAATGTATCAATTAGGTCACACTAGAAACCTGTGATATAAGCGTAAACTCACGTGTGCTTGACTGCTTGTGTCCTTTTTCAGTGTGCCCATATCGCGGCACAGATAAAATTAATATTATTTTTTTAATATTTTTCATCTGTTGTACGTAATCACGAGTCTGTGCCGTTGTTCCTTTGCTGTTATTTTAAGCTGAAAAGATAAAGCCAAAAACGACCAGTATTGTGAGAATATTTTAACCAAAAAACGTTGTCCTTTCCACTGACATAGTTTGCGCGTTATAATTCACATGTGCGTGTGAAAGTAATTTTTAAGAAAATGTGTCTCAAACGCGGCGTTCGTTATATGTTTGAGTTACAAAGGAAACTGTTTGTGTAACGATATTTTATTGTCTTCTGCCAAAACAAAAGAATGTGTCATGTAAATAGAACTACCATTATTTATTAATACAATAATTTAAAAAAGAAATGACTGTTTTATTTAGTAACCTTTGATCTATACTACTTATTACTATCACTTTAGTTACCATGGTAACGCGATTTAACCTTTAATTCGACGGTGTCCAGTCTGACGAAGAACTAATTAGAAAAAATCTACTGAACTAGTTTAGAGAAAATTACGTAAGTATGACTTTACAGAAAAAAAAAACATTTTTTTTGCTACAAAAAATTTCGTCGAATTAAGGGTTAAAATTCAATTGGCCATCTTTTATATTCAACAAAATTGTGACAAAATAAAAGTGTCGTATTAGCTCGTAAGGCATGAATATCAACTTTTGCAGCATTATTTGTTACACCTAATTTTCTTAGTAAAGGATTGATTAATAAAATACGAGAAACTAAGTTATATAAAATTTATTTTAAAAAAGTATGTATACATTTCATATTAAAACTAATAAGTCTTTATTAAAACGTTGGACGGAAAGTTTTATAATGACGTCTGAATACATTGTATTGGCTTAACTATCTTTCAAAACATAAATGTCGTAACATTAACGAAAAAGAGATACAGTTAAAAAGATAATTTAAGAATTGTTTTTTCGATGGAATTTAGTATAGAAATATAAACTTTTTAAACTCATACAACCAAAACGATATAAGCATTTCTTATAATTAAGATTACAAACTATTTTGGTAACAAAAATATTTAAAAAATAATAATAAATCCATCATTATAACAAATTTTAAATTACAATTAAAAATTCAACCGAACGTAAACCAACACAAAATTTAAAAAAAACAAACAGGTAAAACAAATAATACAGCGACGTGGATTTAAAAAAATTAAGTAATTAAAAAAAACAATTATACGATTATAATATAGATCTTATCTATGAGAGCTTTAAAATTAATGTTTTTTATTTTAGCACCTTTTTGGTAACTCTTTTCATTTATATTGAATAAGAGGATTTATATAGAGATTAAATTTAACTTACTATAAAATTATCTAGCCATTTTATTGTTTTTTACTTAAAAACCCTTAAATACTTTCTTTTATTGTGACTTACAACTTTTATACCCAAATCCATACCATTTGGATTTTAGTTAAGTTTATTATATAATTTTTCACATAAAAAATATATTTAATAATTTCTTTTTATTTAATTAGCACCACATCAAAAAGGTTTTATATGGTATTAAATGTGCTAAAATACCAGTAACAATTAAACGATTAAAAGTGTTGATTAAGAGTGGTTCATATAGAGGTTAGTGTTTGTGGTCGTGTGTTCAGGGATGCATGGCGACAATGATGTTGGCGAGCGCGGTGCGCGCGTCGCAGTTGGGGAAGCTGTCGAGGACGTGGCTGGCGGCGCGGATGTGCTCGCGCTGCAGCTGCTTCGTCTGCTCAATGCCGTCGCCCGCCACCACCGCCTCGTACAACTGTCGCAACAACCATATTATAACCGTGTTGTCGATCATGTTAAGAGCCGAAATATGCTTTTTTATATTATAAGATGACAGAGAAGCAAGCGGTCATTAATTCCTCGAAATGACGAAGCTACCCTTGCCCATAGACACCCGCAATTACAGATGCTATCCTTACTTTTATTCGATGAAGGAGGAAGCGCTCACAATGAAAATATTTTCCCTTCCCATGCGTCCCTTCCTCCATCACATCCATTTCCCCTTTCCATCGCTTACTTATAAGAGAAGGTTGAGTAAGGAAAGAGAACTAAAAGTATGCCTCCGAAACGTACTCATAAGACGAAACGCGGAATTACTTCCACTTGACGCCTGTCTATGGATCGAGGTATTGTTTTTTTTCATTACGTTAGTTCGCAATATGGTGATGTTATGTAACATAGTGAAGCTAACCTTGTGGTAGTCAACATCGTGCACGCTGCGGCGTCCCTGCTCGATCAGCTCGTATAGTTCAGGTCGCGCCTGCAGTGTGAAAGCTAGCGGAGCCCCTACCAGCGAGAAGCTGCGCGGCTCCGGCCCAGAGAACGCCTCTAGATCCAGGAATGCCTGCCATGCCAGCGCTAGGTGGCAGCCGAATAGATAACCCTGCAACACAAAAGATTTAAAATAAGAACGCGCCACATCTGCAACATAGCTATACCCACCACAACGTTTTTGAGTCAAAATTAGACAAACGCAGTACACCTTCCGCCGCATTCCTTTCGTTCTTCCAGTTCGTTCCGAGCTAGCAAGATATTTGATTTCCTCTGTACCTGTGTCTGCAGCGCGGGCGCATGTCCGGCGAGCTTGAGCGTGGCTGAGCAGCTCTTGCCGAGCAGCGCCCCGGCCGCCAATACGTGCCGCGCCGCCCACTCGCGTCGCGCGCTGCCTGCCACACCGCCCATCGGCAGCGGCTGCAGCACGCACTCCCACTCTGCAAGACACACACATATATCATAGAAATTATTCTGCAGTGTGAGAACTGTTGGGAGAAGAAGTAAAGATAGACTTATGTTTCATAATATGATTCATCGAGGACCTTTAAACCAGTTATATAGGAAATATTCCATGTATTTGATTTACTTAAATAACCGCTTAAAGTTGTATCACAACATTAGTGTGTCAACAAAGTTGTTCTACTAGGTTTCTATAATTACGTATGCAAAACATGTATGATAGTGTGAACATTGTTATCGATAATACCAATTTTTTTACTATATTATCTAATTTCAATTTTATCCCTTCAAATTATTAACTATTAAAGTTCAGAGTAAAAATATGTTAGTGTGTCCATCCAGTGATCGATATCAACGTGGTTATAAATGCTACGAGAATAGCGATGGCTTGTCGATATATTAGTATTCATAAGACGCACACCTCGCATTCAGGGCGCGGCCGAGTTAGTTCCTTACGATGGCACACAATGGAGAATTTTAATGGCGAAACGACCACACGTCTACGCAGGTTTTTCCTGAATCTAGAACTACATACAAGCTGTGAGAAGACATGAGATCAGAAATTTTTTATCCCCTAAATAAGAAATTATCTACTTAAGGTATTTTTTTAAGGAGGAAAGCAATAAAGAAATAAATAGCATTAAATAAAGTTATAAATCCAGTAATAACGATTTAAGAAATCAACATATGGGAAGGATTTTGCTAGTTTAAAACTGTATTACCTAAATTTAAATAAATAAACGGCTCAAAGACATGATTGGCCGAATTGCTTCGATAAAAGACGTCAATTTGTAAAAGTAAAATATCTATTGAGATAAACTTGATAAATTAGAGTTAAATTGTATTATAAAATAGGAATAAGCTGACATAATCAATATCTAAAACACATTAACTTAAGCGTTGCGTACGTCGTGTTAATGTATGAGATATCAAACATCTTGTCATGCGTAAAAGCGAAACCACGCAAATGTCGTCTTCGTCGACACATCTAACTTTCCGTGTCACTGTGCTTGTTACAGAGCAGCTATACACAGAGCTTACACTAGGGTTTCCTTTTTATCGGACTAATATTTAACCATTGTAATATTTATTACAAACCGACTAATGTTTAACCAATTAATATTGTTTTACCTCTAACTTGGGTAAACTTATATGATTTGATGACTATTATTAACAAAAATATAAATCTTCCTTTTCTAGATGGACAGAGAGGGGGACGAATAGGAAGGGAAAATATCCTCTTTCTGTGCATTTCTCCTATTCGGATGGAAATATTGAACTTAAATGTATATTATACTTAATTATACGTATAACCAAAATTGAGAAGAAAACATCTAATAATCAACTTATTGATGTCTCTGCACTTCAATGCTCTGTGCAGACAACAGGTTGGCTGGTTGACATATTGACACGGATGGAGGATGTGTGCGATGGCACATTAATTCCTATGCAAATAGAACCGCTCAACCATAACGGTGTACCAAAAATAAACAAGACTAGGGATTGGTCAATTATAATTTTCCAAAGCTGAACCTTTATTTAAAATAATATTAATCTTATTTAATTAGACTTAAGAAATTAGTTAACTAAAATATCTTCTTTCACAATCATTTTAACCTAAAACACGAACAAGTATTTAAATATAATAGTTAATTTCAAATATAAATATACTTATTCCAAAGCTATTCATGTCATGTTGACATTACTGTTGACGGAGAAATCGAAAGTATACAGTACTGTAATACCTTTGACATTCTACGTTTATTTACATTATTTATTGACGTTCTAGCCTTTTTAAAATGTCGTCATTTATTGGTTTATGCCATAACATCGAGCTAAACAACACTATAACTAACTGCCGACAACTCATCTAACCTAAGGGAACATACCCATACTATGTGACCTATTTTCTTTTAAGACTGCATGCATACTAAAAGTACTAGTGTAGTAGTTGTTCTTTTTCATAATGTATTATGAAAAAGAACAACTAACGACTACGTCACAAAAACCTGACCCGCTAACCCCCCCCCCCCCTCCTAAACGGTTCACGTAGTATGGGTACGTTCCTTAACCTATAAAATAATAAAACTAACACTTCTGATTATTTAAATTTCACATTACTTAAATAATTCTTTTAAGTTTATATAAAATCTTTAGTAGTCTTTAAAAGTTTTAACTCTATAGTACTAAGTAATTATTTAATTCTCTAAAACAGTTGTATTGAATTCAATCGACAATATTATAAACCGACCAATTAAAAAGCTTTACTGATTTATAGTAATAAATTTTATATTTTGAAAACAAAGATTAGTTACAACAGTATTATAATTCGTTCCGTTACGTGTTCGAGGTTATTGAATCGCTAATGATATTAGCGATCCGAGCCGCGGCTGCGCGAACACTGGACACCCGAATGCCGGAGTGAAAGTCTGCAGCTGACTCATGGCCGGTGCGTTTGAACAAACACCGGTCATGCGCTTGTGTTGATAATAAAAACTTTTTTGTGATTAATAACTACATGAATTAGTACCACATGGAAAAGTACGCGCAGACGTTATTTATACACATTTTCCTATCTAACGGCAAACATTTATTGCGATTTGAATCTTTATTAACTTTATAGCAATGATTAAAATACGAATAAAATATGCTAGTGTCATAATCTGATTAATTTACCGGAGATTTAGACAAAAACTTACGAATAAAGTGCGAAGTTTTCTTTGATCCCGTCCCGACTTAAATATCGTATGGGATACTTAATTTTAACATATTAACTTGTTATCATAATAATTTATCATAGTTACCTAATGGTGCCTCCATGTGGTCTTTTGGTAGTGGTCGCGATGGCAGTGGATTGTTCTGCTCATCCCGCTCCCCTAAGAACTCCGCCTCCGCCAGGTCCCGCACCGCAGAGGACATCAGCTCCACCAACTCTTGGTTCCTATCACAAAATAAATAAATATTACATTAAGACATTCGGATTACCCTTTGCATAAACAGAATGCGTTAAACTTTTTTTAAACATTAATGGGATTATCGTACCCTAGAAAAGACATCGACGCGTTGACTTGTAACTACTATTCGTCTACGTTTAAAATTCTTTATTATCTTGTAGTCTGTGTACTTTACATAGTACAAAGTACACGTATATATATATATATATATCTTGTAGTCTACCAATCGTATTATATATATTATATAATACGATTGGTAGGTACGTACGTAGTATTCGGTGCCGTAGGCCAAGGATTTAATAAACTTTTGCTAATTGTGGGTACAATTTAAATTAAGAATTACCAAGCGTAGTAATAAACAGGTCAAAGGCCTTACTGGAAACCTTACTTGTAGTAAGATTATGCACTTTGTACCAATGTTTACGGAGATAATAAAAATGTGCGTGTACAGATGTACAGTAATTACTTTTACGGATGTAAGTTTTATTAAACTGTAATTGCGAACTGTGCAATGTTAACTCGTAAATTTTAATGTTAATTTTCTCTGCGATTATCATATATGTCATATCAATTTACTGCTATTTATAGTATTTCCAACTTAAGTATTAAGTCGAAGTAAGTGTTAAGGAACTTAACTTACGCTAAGTTTTCAAAAGGACTTAATTATAGCCGACATTCTCTGTAATTAAAACCGACTGATAAAGGAGAGTTCATACACGTGCATTACAGACTCACAATAAACCTGAGTACATGGGTATAGAGGATGCTAATCGAATCACAAGGAAAGATGCGATGGCAAATTAGAAAGGTGCTGCAACGCCCATGACGTGGACTTAAAAGTTAGACAAAGCTAAAGCGAATGCCTTTTCTTTAGTTCTACAGCCCTATGGTAAGGATCCATAAAGTGTCTTGGACTTTATTAAAAAATAATGAACTGCTGGCTGCGCATCGCCCGCGACTTATGCCGTGCGGAAGTCATTACTATCTTTTGTGTTCTTCCAGACTATGTTCATGCCACATCTATGTCAAATTTTATAGAGATCCATTGAGTCGTTCTGTAGATACCTTCTAACAAACATCCATCCATACAAACATTCGCATTTGTAAAATATGTGATAACACCTTCATTGTGATGCAGATGTGCCACATTGAAAAACAAACATAGGTCAATGGTTGCAAATCTTATACAGCATGTCCATATTTATTTTTAAAATACGGGTGGTCACATTTACAAGTAAAATATAAATATATAAAAACTTGTTTTACTAAATTTAATTTTAAATTTACACATTGTATACATCAATTCATACACTACATTATTGGAATAACTTTTACCTGTACAATATTAATAGTAAAATAAAAAGTTAATTTAAAATTAAAATTAAACTGAACAATTAATATTTTCTTCGGAAATATATAAGGTCATGTTATAATCAATCTCCTTGTGTATTGTTCAAGTAAAAGTATCATTTTGTTTCCCAGGGATGGGAAAATACCAGGGTCATATATATCTGTGTTTATCCGGTCATTAAAGTGCATGAAAACCCAACTTTTTTCACAGTAAGTGGCAACCTTCTTTTCATGTTCATCCTTCGGGTAAATTGCACACCATTTTGCAATCATCTTAATCACGGAACTCAAGGTACGTAGAAATATTAGCCTTATGCAGTATCCAAAACAAGGATACTAATATGAGTTGCTTACTTTAGTGGAATCAAAAATAAAGAAATCAAGTCTGGATTGAATGTATGTCAAGAAATGAAGCTATCTCTGCTAACAAGCTTCCTTTGATCAAGAGACATGACTTGCATGGAACTTCAAAGAAGTACCGATAAAAACAAGTTTGAGAAAGAGGTCTAACTTTCACAGACCATAAGTCGTTCAAACTTGAAATGGTAATTGTCCGTGCGACAAAAACCGCAACGTTATCGCAACGACCTTTAACTGATTATGTTCAATTCTATTTATATTTAAAACCTATTAGCATTGCAATTAAATACTATTACAGTTGCGTTACTAAAGTACTTTTATAGTTAATGATATTTGTCATTTTGGCACTAGCCACAATATGATCGATTGGAATTGAAATTGCTTATAAAAATAGGTCCAATATTTTAGGAATTATAAATTTAGGTAGACATTCATTAATATCTTAAAGAAAAATGATTAGCCAGAGTAACAATTCCTCTACAATATAAGAATTGAAATTTGTTGATAAATTTCAAGAGTGTCCTTGAATATCAGAAAAACTACATTGCATTAAAAATCAACAACACACTTTTTAAGTAACAAACGAATGAATAAAATCTAAATCTTAAAGCGAATTCTGTATCTAGTTCAAAATTAACATGAGATTTCATCGCGCCGAGTTTTGGATTGGGTAATTAAAATTTCTCAAGTAATGACCGAATATGTGAATAACCTCGCTTTAAGAGAAAGTTGTCGGTTTTTTTTATTTATACTTTTCATAAATTCTTAACTACAGCATGGCCAGGAACATAAAACACCTCGCTATAAAAAAAAATTACTAATATTGTTCCCTTGAGTATATAGTATGATGTTATAATCAAGGCGATTGAGGTTTTCTATTTTCCTGGGCAAGCTATTCCATAGAAGAGACAGTACAAACTTCTCGGTATATTTATTTTGTTTAAATTGAATACACAATTACAATAATAAATGTTATTATTTACGCTTGTCTTATCACAAACGACAAACTCTATCAAATATCAATTAAATTTAATTACTTTAACTGTGTTCTGTAAATTGACATTACAATTAAAATTTCTAGTCAAATGCAATCACAATCATATTGTCAAAATGAAAATAAGATAAATTAATATAACAAAACTTTTTCTAAACAAAGACCTTTAAGAAACAGTCCTTTCCATATACATATTAAAGTGAAAATATATTTCGTAAAAAAGGGTCAGAAAATTTAAATAAATGCCTCCGGAAATTCGTCAAGCGTTTAAGAGCCGACGAAAAGTTAAATAAAAATCAGAATTAATCGGTCACTTAAAAGTATTAATCATTCTGACGCCATTTATACGCAGACCTGCCAACCTAAAGATTCCTTCCACACTACACAGATAAAACATAAAAGATTTTTTGATTATTTTTTTATCCATAAGACTAAATATTATTTTACAAAAAAAAAATAAACAGCAGATATCTTAAATATCTGTTCCAATGTTCGAGAAAAAAGTGTTTCATTTGTTTTAAGCTAGGCGGGGGCATTGCCGCGCTCTTAAAAAATCTTTACTGTCAACCTTACATTCAGTGTGAAAAGACCTTAAAGTCTTTTCGAATACAATATGAAGCTGTAGTACAATTAATAAAGGCTCGTTATATTATAAAGCGACATATCGGAAGAATCTGGAGAATGTTGTCGTTGCCTTGTACGTTTTGAACCCTACGCCCACACTAAAGGCGAACCGGACGTTGACCAGTTAGCACTTTAACCTTTCCGTTACATTGCAAAAACGTTTATGTGTAATACAAAAGGTAACAAAGATCATTAACCTACGTCATGTAAAAGGTCCAATGAGTTAAACTGATATAGATTAAAGAAAGGTTAAGGAAGTAGTTAACATAGACCTTTCAATCGTTCAATTTCCCTTCTACGTATTCGTAATGGAATGAGTACGGAAAATAATAAGAGACAAATGTCTCTATATTTTGAGACCGGGGTTAAGAGCCTTAACCTCTTACTGCTGTAAAAAAAAGCTTAGCGTTATCAAAATGTTAATTGCAGGGTTAACTTGGCAACGTAGAAGTTTTATGACTCAACTGTGAATCTAATTGATTTAAAAAAACTAAGCAAATGGCTTAATACTTAGTTAAATAAATACTACTATTTTGATGAAATGTAACTGTGTTGTTGAAGTGTGTGTGAACATTACGTATTTCTTATAATAATTATAAAAAAACCCGTTAACAATAATCACTAACGAGTAAGAAACTGAATATTTCACAGAAGCAATGATGCCAATATAAATTCACAGAATTAAATTTAACAATTCTCAACCAGCTTTCGAAAGCAAACGAATGTGGGAATCGAACGTTTAAATAGACAAAAGTTCTTTCATATATTTACGCTCCATAACAGTACTCAAATAACATATATTGTCCTTTAATAGTATTTTTTAATGAAAATTCATATACCTAAATCAATGTGCAATGTAAAATTCGTGATTCTTGGGTACAAAGTAAACGTCCTGACAGTGAATTGTTACACCTCATTGAATATACACAGCTCAACAATAATTACACACACGCGTACACAACGTATGTAATAATGTGTACCTATGTATATGTACATAGACTTAAAAAGCAAATAATAAAAATTCAAACGCACGTCGGGTTTTAAAATCAAACAGCCGGCGCGGCGATGAGACTTCATAACTAAAGTATACTATTTATTATACTCGTATGTATATATTATTACTAATTACTTTACTAATATTATAAAGGCAAAAGTTACGATGTATGGATGTATGGATATAGATTCGATGTATGAATACAAATAATGGCTTACCTAAGATTGGCGAGTTCTGAGCAGGAGTTAGCGAGTAAGTAATCGCCGCCGAGCAGCGCGATCTTGTTACCGAACATCATGTCGTCTGGGTCTCCGGGGCCGCCGGGACCGCCGGGACCGACCTGGGGCGCGTTCATATTCACCAGGCCCTTGTGCACCAAGTGCGAAGTTCGGATCATCTCCGTCACCTCTGCTAGAGCGCGTTGACTGCATGGAACAAGTATTTTAAATTTAAAAAAAAACGATTTGGAGAAATTTACCCGTCCAAGTCCAGCCTCCGAGGCTGTAGTGGAGTTAGATAAAGAATAGAGATGGTTTTCACTGAAGACATACTTATAATAACGTAATAGTTATCCCTTTCATGCTGTACTTCATGTAACTTGCCATATATTTGCTATATAAAGTGACCACTGTTTAACTGTAGGTACCTGTGCAATACACCGGCGGCCTTGTCTTGTTCCATGTCGGGTATCTCGGGGCTGTGGCCAGCCGCTTTTGACACCAACAGCACGATCAACCCCCACGCCTGCATGTTGTTCTTGCCATTGTAGATCAAGTTCCTGAACACAATGTTATACACTTATATTTTGCAGTTTCATTGGCGCACTGCAAAGAAAAATGTTTGAGAAAACCCTAGAGAGAAACTACGCGAAATGAAGTAACCCATTAAGTAGAGTAGTTAGTCCGTAAAGGAATAGCTTCGCTTATACTTTACGGAAGAACTAATATAGGAATAATGTTCTAAGACTCCAAAAAACGATACTTTTGTAGAAAGGAAAATATATTAAAAAAAATTGTAAATCATTGAAAAGCCCTGATATAAAAACCGTAAATTCTTTACTAGACGCGACGTCACTTAGATAAGTACTTGTACCGTATCAACGAGTTTTTGCGAACTAGTTTGCGACTGGTTCTGCAACTTGTGAACAGAATCTGTGCCGTGTCGATGACATGCATCATTGTCATTACACACTACAGTGAAATTTGTAAAAGTGTCAACAAATATTTGTAAAAAAGTTTCAAAACCATCCAGGCTCAAAGTCTGCACAGTCTTACTAATTTTATAAATACGAATGTTTAGACGAATGGTATCTCCAGAACGGGTGCATGGACTAGCTGAAATTTGGCATGGATATAGAGAACATAGTCTGGAAGAACATATTTGATAATCTGTGAAAAGTGTGTCAACTAATTTTATACATATCGTAAGAACCGATCATGATCTTATACTATATTAAATCCAAGTATTTAGCTATTTTAGATAACTCTGTCATGAACTTTCTAGCCTTTATAACAGCTTATTTAAACCAATTCGCGGTCTGCCTTATTTCTTGCTACAAACTCATTATCAGATTTTTAATCAATGTCATAATTTTTAAATAATGAATAATGTAATTAAAAAACTTTAATAACTTTATATAAATATATGATTACAAGTATTTATATAGTTTTTATAGTAAAATATATGAAATGTATTTTGTTAATTATATTTAAGATTCATACAGATACGCAAACAATGTTTAAAAGAGAACGCACGAATGCTGCTGAAGGAGAAATCTGTTTTATAAATAAAAAAAAAACGCAAATGCATCGCGATTCAGCAAGCAATATGCTTATCTGCAATAAAAAATAATACCATACTTATTCTTTACATTACAATGAAAAGAGTACGCTAACTTCGCCGAAGATATGTCAAAATTGCATTACAAATAATACTGTGATTTAGGATACTGTCATAGATTAATTGACTAAAAGACCTTTTGTATTATTAACGAAATAAAGTCACGGAAAGTCTTATAATAGAATGAATTTAAAAGCCATAATCCTTTTTGTAATGACTATTTATTAAAAGCGAAGGTGGTCAATGGGGCTGTCATCACAGTTGCGACGTAACAACTAATGACTAAAAAAGAAGGTCATATAGAACTGTACTTGAACTATACATTGCGTAGCATCAAGCAGATACATGCCGTAGAGTTCGCACTGCGAAACATTAACAAAACATGTTTTGACCTTAGTTTTCTGAAAGTAGTTGTGTCCTAGTGCCAATAAACAGTGCGAAATCACTAGTTAGATCATCAAGTGCTTGTAGACGTTTAGGGTTTAGAAATTAAGAGTACATTGAAGGAAAGTGAACGTGACATACTTTGCAGTTTTCAGTAGTGGATGGTTACTGCCAACTAATTTCCTAAGATGGAGAGCAACGTTCGCTATTTCGTCGCTGAGCACCCATCGTAGGCTGAGGAAGGAAGTAGGGTATCCGACAATCTTCTCCGCTTCGCTGACGGCGCGGTTCCAGTCCGGCTTGGTGCCGTGAGCCACCGCGGCCTTTGGCGCACTCGTCTGAACCTCCCTTGCGACACAAGGTCCCCAGAGTTTCGAAACCAGCGCGCCCGATGGGGACACTTTCACCATACCACACCTCGTCACATTTCTCAAGCAGCTAAAACTCATTTTGTATTCCTTAGATTTGTAATTTTCACAATTAAATCCAGTGGTAATTAAAATTTTATAAGCGAAAGTTATTTGTGTAAACTTCTCGTAATTTTTTTTTCTTCAAAACAAATTTGTAATTTAAGCAACTAACGATTTATTCGTAGATATCTTGCGAACACTATGTTGTGAATTATCTTAAAAAAATATTTCGCACAATTTTTACGAGAATTTTTACTTTTACTCTACGTCCCACTCGTACGCGCTAAGATCGTAGACTGAATAAAAACATTTGATTACGATTGAATGAAGGTGTTGTGAATGAAATTATCGTTACGGTGTAAAGGAGTACACTCATTGTACGTGAAAAAGCTATCCTGCTTGTAATACAATCTTTTAAAATAAACTATATAGGGGGTGCAACTATGCAAATCAATCTGTATAAATTATAAGTACTATTGAGTTTTAAAAGTATGCTGTACGCTTCACTAACACAAGACTAAAAAAATTGTAGGCTTTTTGTTGCTCAATGTTAATGAAGCCCAAATAAAAAAAATGAGATAGGAAAATATCAGCTTTTTTGAAAAACGTATCGATAAGAAGAAAGATGAACCAAAGGAAATAGGAGGCAACCGTATCGTTTAACAATACGGGATTTTATACAAACAATATAATGTGCGAAACGTTACTGTACACCTTTCTGTTCTGTTCTAAATTTAATTTCCAGCTTGAATTGAAAAACACTCATTCGCAACTATTGAAAATATTAAAAATCCAATCTATCCAATCTGTGCGGTACTTTATAATAGAATGAATGATGAAATTCAATGACAAGTTAGTGTTGCTAGGACTTGACTACTTTGCGTATAATGGGGGATAATTTAAAAAATGAAATAATAAATTTGAGTGAGGAATAAGATTTTTGATAGAAATAACTATACCACCGAAAATAAAAAAAATATTTCCTACACTTTATATTACTGCACTTCCAAAATTGTATGGAGGTTATTTTTACATACCGAAGATTCATAGTGTAATGTATTTCGCCACTATTTAAAATATGCAAAAAAATTTTTTTTCATAATTCCCAAATGTTCTTTCTGAAGGAAATATTTTTTATTTCATTGCTAATCATAGAATTGCCACTGGCAATACTGAATATTTTTTCGACCAATCAGCGTTATTATTTTATCATTCACTCCCAGTTCACCAATCATTCTTTCAATGGAGATTGGTTGGAAATTTTGAACAGTTCAGTTAATCGCTCACCACCGGCCGTTGTAGTCGACTAAAGGGGGTCACTACGACAAGCCGGCTTTTTCAGTGTTACAGTTCTATTGTGATTTTATGTAAACTTTCGTTTATTACACACGTTAAGTTAGTGAAAGTGTGAACTTGACGTGGTGTGGTCAATAAACTGTTTTATAACTTCATCGATTTTACCTTAAGGTAACTATAATTTTGCATGCACTTACAATTTACCTAGTTATTTATACACTTATAGCAAAAACCCTCCCGGCGTATTGCGTTCCACGTGTATGGTATCGTGTAATGCAGTCCAAATAGCATACGTAGTTGAGAAACATCTTTTTACATACATACATTATTTCTAAAATGAATGGACGATACGGTCAAAACAAAAAAAAATGGCAAATGCAATACGCAATACGTTGTATGAATTAAAAGCAATAAAAGTAATAAAATAAAGTTAAATAACTGTTAACAATCAATGTAACTAACTTAACACCTGCTTTTGTTATTTCCTCCTAATATAAAACGTAGTTTGTTTATAATTTATTTATTTTGATTTGATCCTATCGGAATTTGTTTTGACTGCTTCTTATCAAATATTTTATCATCTGTTGTGAAAGTATTTGTATATTTTCTCTACAACTAAAAAGTTATTTCTTTCCACTGGACTGTAATGGGATTGGACTATAAAAAATAACTTCTTGATTTTGACTGTGTATTATTTTGATCATTACTTAAGCATTTAAAGTTTTTTATTTGAAATCTAAAGCATACAGCAAAATATTCTATGTTTAAATTATAATTTACATTTGAGGTCACACAGAACTAACAAATAATACAACAGCTTTCAATACATTGTACAGTAATAAGAGAAATAATTATAAGTTTATGAAAAAAAATTAAACTGACCACTATGTACCTTATTTTTTTTTTCCGTTGCGCTAAATGGAACATGACAAGATATTATCTGAATCCAACAGTAACTTGCCATAATCTATATTCTTGGTCATTTATTTATTGTTAACTATCTTATCTAATTTGTACTACATAATAAATAAATATACTCCAATGTTATTGTATTGAAATAAACTAAATTCATTGAACCACAATGCTCCTCTGTGTTGTATGTTTGTAGGACAAACTGATAATGTCTTAGTCAATGCCGTTAACTACAATCAAAGAATTAAATTTGCTTCCCAATAAGGATTGAAAATCTAACAGCAAATTGTCGCAATAAGAGCAAAAACCACATATGTACTTTGACAAGTCTTCAACCTAATTCTAATGTAAGCATCACATAAAATTTTACCGGAAATTAATGTCCATGACTGTACTTTCTGATTGTGCTTATAACTTGTTTCATAGTTAATGGTTTAATACACGTTAAGCCTGATCAAAGATATAAAAACCTGGTCTGGGAGCCCACCTTTAATATTGCAGTACTTTTCATATATACCTAAATGAAAATGTCAAATTTGTTATTTAAAACATAGTACTTAGTATTTATCGACTCTCAAAAGATATACCTTTTTAAGTATAAATTCATAAAGATCATTTATGCTTATATATACATATATAAACTTAAATTGTATATACCTTAGTTGTTTTTATGAAGTTAATTTGCAGTAAATTTCCATGATAAGTTATTTTTTTGTTAGTTTATATAGTTGATTTATGATCCATTCTGTATACATCTACAATGACATATTAAAAATAACTAGGTTTTGACGAAACCCTCTACTCACAAAATTAACTTATTTAGTAGCTAGACTAAGTTCTATATCTATGCCAAATTTCAGTGAGATACATGCAGCCGTTCTAAAGATACCCTCTAATAAACATCCATCCATCCGTCCATTTAAATGTTTGCATTTATAATATTATTAATGTACGCTAGGCTTATGTGTTGCAATTGTATTATTACTATTATGTTGTATAATTTAATAGTTTATCACAACAATGAACTAAGCTTATTTTAAGAATGTATATTTTTTGTATCAACATGTAGTATGTATACAGGATGTTTTATTAAGGTCTTTGTTTATTTTATTGTTCAACTAAGATAAGGGTGTTTATTGTGGGTGTATAAATATATATATATATATGACCTTTTCATTGTAATTAATCGGTGTAACTAATTTTAAGATGGATGTCATTCAAATCATGTTGATCCCTTGATTTTCATATTGATATGGTCAGATAGGCTTATTGAATTGTTTAGATCTCTGCATACTGCCATTAATTGATTAAAAAAGTATTATAAATAAAATTAATTTTGTGTGTCCAGGTATGGAGTGGGAAGGGCCGCAAAAGCAAGGCTTGTACGACCCACAGAACGAGCACGAGGCGTGCGGCGTTGGCTTCGTGGTTGCTATCGACGGGAAGCGCTCTCATAAGGTAACGTCTTTCTAATAACACCCATATGAATAAGAATTGTATCATTTGGTTATCAATTTATTAATACTTTGACCAAAATTCGATGTCAAAAAGTCTAATGTTCAGTTTTTATCTAACTCTGTGCAAAAACAAAACCATAATACTTATTTATGTTAGACACAAATTTCTTTGAAACATTATTACTTTGTATCATTAAAGAAACGTGATGATTCGATGAATGAACTATTATTAGTCTTGCAATAAATTGTTTTATTACTTGAACGCAAAAACTAAAGTTACAAATCCTTGTAATGACATTTACCAGGTCTAGGTTACTATGAATGTCATTTTTGAATCACCCATCTCGTTTTTTCTACGACTAACAGAAAACTCAGAGTTTGTTTGTGTGCACTAAGGGAGTGTTCTTAGTGTAAGAAATGTACCCTAACAGACTACTTAATAAACTGAATGTCGTAAATAGTGGGTACAAAGAGCCAGTAGGAACTTGAACCATGTCACGCACCGACACCTGTTAATGTTTCATTGTGTTTCTGTCAGATCGTGCGAGATGCAGAGGTGCTGGCAAAGCGCATGGAGCACCGTGGCGCGTGCGCATGCGATAACGACACAGGTGATGGCGCGGGCGTGCTCACCGCCATCCCGCATCAACTCTACTGCGCACAACTAAGGTGCGTATACATTATTTGATTTTAAACAGCGGATCGCTTAATGCGAAATGATACAACGCCCATGGATATCCGCAACACCGGAAGAAAAGAAGCATTGCATTGCGTGCCTTTAGATATATATAAGTCAAGATTTGTAAAGTTTGCAATGTCTGGCTTCAATCTAGAATTCGCTAAGAATTTAGAAATAACATGATTTATCTGATGGAATCTGTCTCGTCTGTGCTGGCATGCCGCCAGATTGTGAACCGCCGGCCTGGCGCTTGGCCAGCGTCTTATTGATAATCAATATAAAACAAACTGGAGTAATTTTTCTTAGGTCTTTACTATTGCATCGGAGAGTTGGTTAATGTAACACATAAGTAGTATATTATTCAAGCTAAAACTACACTAAGGCCAACGGCACAATGATAGCGATAAGCGGATCGGAGCAGGACAATATAAACAAAAGCATCACTCCGCTTCCGCTTGTTACGTGCCCGTCGCTGTATTCCCCGCTTGTCGAAATGTCGTCGCCGCGGCCTAAGGCTCTTCCTCTAAAAACTGAGTACGATAATAGCAATTTTACCCAATTAGCGCGTAAATAATCTTCAGATTGGATTACTATATTAGTAGCAGTATCTAGTTATATATAGTTCATCTGATCAGAGTTCTTGCATCACATGCAAAAGCTCGAGCGAGACTCAGAGCGACTGTTATTGATAATCGCGACGCACTGCTTCTGCGCAGTACGACCGATCTGTTTATCTCTACACAAACCGCTTCTGTAATGTTGACTACATGTACATGGAAATAAAGAGCAACAAGTCTTGTCCTTGATATGTTTTGAAGGTTATTTATTAAATTTTATATGTCTTTTATCTTATCAAAATAAGGTTTTATGATTCTAAAATACCACTCGTAAGTACCCGGCAAGTCTTATGATGATGTAGATTTTTAATGCGAGCGAAAAGAA